TTTATCTTACTGTGTCTAACTTATTTCCCTTTCTATAATCTCCAAAAGTATACAGTATTTTTCCTTATCAATAAGAGCATTATGTGTCAACAATAAGCAAGTTGCAAGTGGCAGGATTTCCTTCTTTTCAAGGCTGAATAATATCCCATCATATATACACATACACCACATATTCTTTCCCTACTTATCTCTCAATGGACACTCAGGTGTTTCCATCTATTGGCTTTTATGAATCTTGCTGTCACTTAACAGCTATCTATCTATATTCTCTCTCCCCCAGTAAGAGTTTTACTGCTCTCTAAAGTTGTCTTAGGAAAATTATCAGAAGTAAAAGTTCTCCTTTTGGAGTTCTTCAGTAAATTCAGTGGTGGAAAGTTTTATATCTGCCCTTCTTTAAACAGTACTATCAATTTTCAGTAGAGACACTCCAGTGAAGTTTGTAGCTCCAACTGTCTACCATGATAAAGAATGGGTTTCTACTGTCAATTCAATTGCCACTGACACTGCAATTAGTATTGTGATTCTGTTGTTATACATAAATTGAACAGATAGCATTATGTTTGACTTGAGCTCCGAGCTTTGAAAGTGCATGTTTTTTCCTTTTGGATTGTCACTTGTTTACTTCATTACTTTCTTGCTCAATAAAAAGAGTTAGCCTTTAGGGATAAACCTTCTAACCATGTGGAAATTCACATAAGAACTTTCTACAAAATTTCATTAGTGTTTTAAATAGACATTACAGATAGAATTCATTGGAGGGTTGTAAAAGTTTTTTCTCAAACTAGATTATTTCACAACCAATCCTGATTTCCAGATTTAGAAATTAGGAAAAGTGACAGTGACATGAAGGGCTGTTATCAGATCATCATTTTCCTTAACTGCTCTCCACAGATCTGGACCATGCTCTGTTTAGTGTTAAAAGTCAGAGAAGTTCCCCCTGATGAGCAGAATCTAAGAGCACTGGAAGATCTCAAGTATTTGGGGATCATGGGATAAATCAAGAATGGTTTCAAAAGAAAATAGTTTTACATTTCCCCAGGAGAGTCTAGTCTTTAGAATAAACCCTAGGGGTAACTCTTCCCTAATTTCTTCCTGGAAACTTCTAACAGGACACCCAACCCGTGTTCAATAAAACACGCTTAATAGTTTTGCACTCCTAGTTTGGAAAGCCAGTATTATACAGCTGTAACTTGGTCAGGATTTTCTCTAAGAGACCAACTAGTGAATTTGCTAGAATTAATTAATTTCCATTTAAGACTAACGGAGCACTTACTGGTGCGCCCAGCGTCGGGCTATTTACCAAAGAAAATACTTTTCCTTTAACCTTTTCCCAGCACATCCAGTAACTTCCTACAAATTTAGGAGGGATTGAGGGATAATGCCTGTTTGCTTTTCCCTTTCCCCAAGATGACTATAGAATAAGGTTTGAAATTGCTGGAGGCTACACTAGCGCCCTCTGGGTATAGACTGTTTAGACACCCATAGCAGACTCTAGTGATTTGTAGCTATGGAAGATTTCACTGAGAGGCACTGTTACAGACTGAAGAATCACACTGCAGCTAGGAGCAGAGTTTCGGACCACTGGTGCCATGAAATTTCTAAACTACAGTGTCGTCACCAATACATGAATAAAAGCCACAGGTTCTCTCTTTGGGCAAACGCACATCAAAGACACATATGCTTGCAAACGATTTAGAAAGTCCGTACATTAGATTTCTCTGGAATTAAAAGAAAAAAATATTTCCTGAGAATTACTGTCACCTGAACGCAAATGGATTTTACCACAATCCCAAATGGCCATGGCCACCGTGCGCCACATAGTGGCTGTAACTTGTCCTTCCCAACTCCTTTTTGAAACTCCACGGGAGCTCAGAACTTAATTTCTGGAAGAAAGAAAAACAACGGGGCGGTGGGGGGGAAGCCCAGAAGCCCCCAGAGTCAGTCGCAAAAGTCGCGCCCAGGCTTTTACAGGCAGTTAGGAGATAAGCAGAGGAGGGGAGGGAGCGGAGCGAAGGAGACAGATCGGTGCGGCTCAGCCCAGTTCGGAGCCAGCACAGCTAGCATTTCCCAGCTCTGAACCTGAGGACCTGTTGTGGTCCTACCCCTACAGTTCTTACTACCTGGGGTCTTTTGAGGCCTTCCGGCCTACTGACCCTGTGGAAAGAGATCTGAGACACCCGGCCCCAGCCTTAAGTTGTTATTGCCTTCTGCCACCCCGCAGAAGGGAATCTTAGAAGTTAGGCAGGTCCGCTGACGCCTTGCGCATGAAAGCTGTGGACCCTCGAAGAAGAAGAGATGTGTTGTGAGGCAGGGGTACCCTAGGAAATGCTGACAAACGTGAAGCCAGGATCCTCGTATCCATCCACAGCCCCTAGATGATGCTACTGCTGTACTTAACAGCCCTAACAGCATGCAAAAAGGCTGCAGTGGATTGAGCCCTGTGAGCTCTGATTAGGGAATTCCGGAAAAGTGGAGCTTCTTTTGCGCACCCAACAAATGCTTTGGTCTAAACCTCATTCTAGGTGCTACGGGGGCGTGAAAGCTCTGGGAGAGGGCTGGTTTGAGAGGGATTCAGATCAAGTATAATCGGGTGCGATGGAGTGCCCCTATATTTTTTTTTTGAGAGTGTGAGCGGACACAGATTAGCTTCGGGAGGATACTTGGAATGTGCCTGCAGGAGAGAAGAAGGCAGGCTTGGAACACGTTTGAGAGTGATCCTCTAAGAATACACCTTGTGCGCCAAAGTCCGAGTGACCGAGCTCGTTGGCGTGTTGGCCAAGCACACAGCACCGTCAAGCCTATCTGCTCTCTAGTCTAAGACCTAAGTGGGGCAAAGGGGTGGAGAGCGGCCGGGCCGGAATAAATACCACTTAAACATCTTTGCAAACAGCAGCTGAAGCACAGGGGCAGCTGTGTAAATGGTTCAAGCAGGTGGAGTGGAAGGTGATGGATGTGGGACCGGAGAAGGAAGAGTTAGAAATTTGGATGGAGGTTTTGGAAGCATCTGTTGCTTGCTTCTCGGCCCGCGGGGCTGTGGACCCCTTCCTCGTGCATGCAATGGGTCTGAAGAGAACCCGGGACCCTTCAAAGCCATAGGAGGCAGTCTAGCTCAATAGGGATTGGAAAAGCATCAGTAGAAATCTTCAGGACTTCCCTGCTGGGAAACGGATATCTGCCTTCCAAAAGCTGGGCTTTCCTGTAACATTTCCTCAAGATGGGACTAATGTGCCCATTTTAAAGATGGGTTCATTAAGAATCCTTAAAGTGATTTGCCTGTGACCGCACACCCTGGAATGACGCCGCCACACTAAAACTCTGTTCTAACAAAGTTCTTGTTTCCATCTGCATTTCCTGCTTCCCACCAGCTTCTCCCTTCAGTGCAATGTTACCACGGAATACGCGTCCAAAGAATCCATCCTTCGGCTTGCTAACATTCTAAGCCTAGCTTGGGCAGGCATCTGGACCCCGCCCACCAAGATCGTGCAGCTGGGGTTGGGGGTGAGCATGAAAGTTCAAAGCCAATGAATGAATGAAGTGGTGAGATCTGTTTTTACGTCAAACCGCCCTCAAATTCCCGCTTATTTTAAGGGCTTTTCTCGTATTTCCCCGCCCCGACTATCACTTTTATTAATGACCTCAATGCAAACACACAAGTGAAGCGGTCCTGATGGACATTTCAGGTTCCGGAAGCATGGTGGTGACGCAATGTGGATGGGGCACAAGACCACTCCGCCCATTGGTTGCCCCGCTGCGCTTGAGGACCCCTCCCGACCCAGGGCGGCGGGAATAAGAGCAGCTGTTTGCGCTGGGCGGCTGGAGTCACTGCCCAGCGAGTCCCCTCCGCAAGTGCTACCAGGCTGTAGCTGGACTGGACGCCTTCGCCGCCGCCTCTGCTCTAAGTCACCATCAGACAGGTGAGCCCCAAGATTCTCCTGCTCAGGTGTGTGTGTGTGCTCTCTCTTCTTGCTCCTTCCCATCCCATCAGTCTATCTCTTAGTTTATATTCCTACCACTTCTCTGTCCACTTCTATTTCAGTCTCTTTGCCAATCTGTTAGTTCGCGATTCTTTCGACACTCCTGCTCCAGTTAGATTCGGACGGGTATCTATCAGAGAACTCCTTGCTGCGCTCTTCCCACGTGGCTGCAGGCTCCTTTCTCCTGCTGCCGCATGCTTAAGCCAAGATTCAGTCCCCGAGCGTTCAGAACGCAGCAGCAGCATGCAAGAGTGAGGTTTCTGCAGATGAAATATTCCAGGAGTCAGGACTAGTACCTCCCATTCCCTGGAAACTTGATTCAGAGCCTGGGCTAGCATGAGGGTGTGGCAAAAACTAGCTGCTGAACGACTGAGTGCAAGCCTCACTCCTGGCTTTGGGAGTTACTAAGGGAAGTGTCTTGGGTCCAAACTTGAGACTTCCTTAAACTTGGTTCTTGCAAACAACTGAATGGCTAGAGAGAGGAGCAGCTGAACTCAATTTCTCAGGGCTTTTAACTGTTGGAGATATTCCCTCGCCATATCCTCTCCCTCCCCATCCTCACGGAAAGAAGTCAGCTAGCTCTGGGTCTCCTTACCTGAGTAATAGTTGGGACAGGGTCTACAAGCCAAGGTCGTGGTGCTTTCAACCACTCAGAAGTGGAGGCAAGAGGCACTCTCCCAGGCGTAGAGAACTTAGCATTCCACGGGCTCTGAATTCAATCCCCAAAACTGGATGCAGAAGGAGGGACTCTATCAACAGGTTAATTGCATGTGCTGCTCATAGAAGAGTTCTTCAGACTGAGAACTCACCACCAATCTGTTCTGCCAAAATCACTCCTCCGGCTTGCCAAACCATGTGTGTTATAAGCCCACCAGACTTTCCCATTGGTCCACTTTGTTGATAAAGAAACAGAGGAAGAGTAATGTAGTAACTAGCAGAAGCCACATAACCAAGTATTTAGAAGCAAGCAGAAGCAAACAGAGAACTGCTGCAGATGACATCATTCTTCCTTTGCAGGGAGGCATTATGGGCTTCCAGAAGTTCTCTCTCTTCCTAGCTCTCAGCATCTTGGTCCTGTACCAGGTTGGCAGCCTCCATGCAGTGCCATTCAGGTAAGACAGACTAAAGATCTGCATACAATCGCCTGACTCTTCATTGTGGTGTTCTGAATGTTTAAAAAAATGGCATCTCTCTTAAGGGAAATATTTGTTTATTATCGATTTATTGGCATAAAGATGGGGGCGCACAATTTATAAATAGTAATGAGATGTACAATGATTTTGTTATATTTCATATTGACTATTAACTCTCACAAAATTCTTTCATTGTTTTCTGATTTTTATATTGGTAACCAATCTATGTATCCAATTAAGCCATGTTCTGAGAAATAAACCTCATCTTAACCTGTGTATTAGTTCAGTGAAAAATTTGTTGCTATTGAAACTGATTTGTAACATGTTGATCTTTTTCTCACCTATGTCCAAATTTTATTTATGAAATTTAATCCTTTTCAGATTCAATACTAATTTTAAGCTTTATCATTTGATTTTTAATATTGGCTGTGCTTAACACTTGCAAAATTCCTGAAAATTAACCATCAGCATTCATAAGACTATAAGAACTGGCTCCAGTATACCACTGCTTGGAGACCATGCCAATGAAGTGAAGACACTAGCTCCTAGTGAAGACTCTGGCCTCAAGCCCTGCAGCTATATCCCTAGGGAAAGAAGCAGGGAGCAAGAAGCTTGGCTGCTTATTCTGGGGAGGAAGCAGGCAGTGGCTCAGAGCCTGCTTTGGGTCTACCTCCCCTCTGCAGATCTACCTTGGAGGGCAGCCCAGATCTGGCCACCCTCAGTGAGGAAGAGCTGCGCCTTCTGCTGGCTGAACTAGTGCAGGACTATGTGCAGATGAAGGCCAGGGAGTTGGAGCTTCAGCAGACGCAGGAAGCTGAGGACTCCAGGTAAGGCTCCCTACCCAGTCCAGCATACATCTTCCCACACACAGGTGCACACACACACACACAGAAGGGAAGGGAGGATGGCAAGAGGTAAAGGAGAACATACATGGTCAGAAGTCCTGAAGGCAATGTTAACAGAACCTAGGTCAAGCTGTTCTCGAGCTCCATAGAAGACAGAGGTCACCTGGAGTGACTGGGTAGATCACATTTAGAAGATCCATTTCCAAAAGCAGTTAGAGAAGGTGTGGAATTGCTTACAGTGGGAACTGGTTCATCAATACTGGGGAAACCTCCCAGCACAGAATGGATTAAAACTAGTAAGAGTAAAACTGAAACCTGGGGATAGACCTTTGGTATATCTGGGGAGAATGTTTTATTTGGCTCCCCCACATTAATCTGCATATAATGTTCTTTCATACCAACAAGGAGTCCTTGTTATACATTTTCAAAGTGAAAGGAAGGCCTTTCAGGGGGTATGGGCAGGTAGAGGAGTGACTGAGGTAGGTCTGAGACTCTACAGAGATGTGCATGTTTTCAATGGATCCGGTAGAGCACCCTTCTCCAGCCCTACCTCCCTGTGTTCCTGGAGCCTGGAAAGAGACCAGCCCTGGCCTGGTCCTAGCACTGCCTGGGCAGAGGCATGTGGGGACCTGCATCCACCCTGAGAATGACCCTGTCAAGCATGAAGGACTGAACAGCAGAATGCCAGAAAATATCACCCTTTCCCAACTGCAGCCCTTCCTCACCCTACCCTAACTAACCCCATCCCTGAGTCCTCCCAATGAAGGAAGTATGAGTTGCCTTCCTGCCTGTGCCGTCTGCCCTAGCTTGAAGTCTTCATGCTTACCCTTATATTGACTGCATACAGAGGCAGCCCCTACGGCATGTTTTTTTTTTTCTGGCATGTTTTTTTTCTTTGCAGCCTGGACAGCTCCAGATCTAAGCGGTGTGGGAATCTGAGTACCTGCATGCTGGGCTCGTACACCCAAGACCTCAACAAATTTCACACATTCCCCCAAACCGCAATTGGGGTTGGAGCACCTGGCAAGAAAAGGAATGTGGCCAGAAACTTGGAGACAAACTACCACCCTTATGTTGGCATGCCCCAATATACCAACTAAGCTTCCCCTTTCCTTTCTAATTTCCTTTCTTGCTTCCTTCCTATAACTTGATGCATGTGGCTTTTCTCTGGTTGCTCTTTGGGCTGTTATTGGTGGCTCTCCTGTGGCAGAGGATGTCTGGAACCTCTGATGGGCAAAAAGAAAGGACTCAGAGACCCAGAGAGAACCATTTGGGAACATATCAGAGAGCAAGGTACTCCTCTGAGGCTTCTGAAGATTTCAGAACAGAACTTCTCAATCCTGCTTCTCAATTGTGCTGGTTGGTTGGGAATAAAACTATTTTTTCTAAAAGGATCTGAGCTGTGGTGGTGGCTTCTCTGACTCACATCTCAGGCTTCATGGTATTTAAGAACTGTGCTTAGAAATAGCCTTAGGCTTGGGGTAGCTGGATACAAGGTATGATGGTGATCCTACTGACAGAGCTCAAACAACAAGAACAGATCTTAAAGAGAAGGTAGGTAAGCACTTCTGGAATTCTGCTCTTTTCTCAGGTAAGATCCAGGGATTTTCATTTTCTTAAGAAGGGGTACTTGTACCTGTGACTAGGAAATAGATTCCATAGTCCTTGCAAATAAGTCTCCATGTGGCACCATAATTCCCCCTAGGCTCATAAGCCTTTGCTGATTTTTAACCTGTTTCATGGCTACTCATCCTGACACCTTCTAGGTTCCCCCATGGAGACCAATCACACCATTTTCCCTAATAGCCCTGTGATTTTTCATCTCTGATAACTGATTAGGAGAAACACTTAAGGTTAATTAGTGCTTCTCAGCACAGCAATATTACCATGATGATCTCAAGGGACAAGCTCCACCCAAGTCATCACCATCGGACCTCTTCCTTCTCCATTCTGATAATCAGTATCGCTGCCCAGAAGAGAGCCTGTAACACTGCCACCTGTGTGACCCAACGACTGGCAGGCTTGCTGAGCAGATCAGGGGGTGTAGTGAAGGATGACTTCGTGCCCACCAATGTGGATTCCAATGCCTTTGGCCGCCGCCGCCGCAGGAACCTTCAAGCCTGAGCAGCCAATGACTCCAGGATGAAGGTGACTGCCTTGTACTGTTGGGTGGGAAGATAGATAACTACATATAGTCCATGCTTTGAGCCTCTGAGGACCCATTATAGTTGAGAATATCTACACAGAAAGGTATCTCCACTAATGTCTGAAGGAAAAACACTGAGACTTTATCTTCTCTGTTTTTCTACTCTTTCTTGTACCACTAAGATGATCAGCCCAGAAAATGTAAACACTGCTAATTTGCCATTTTAATTATGATGGTTCTAGCATTTTGACTTAAAAGGTAATGACATTATCCTTTAAGAGTATAAACTGTAATGTTTTAAACTTTTGAATTAAAAGTAGGATCTTGTGCTCAACTGTGTTTGCCCTCTACTAGCTATAAGACCACATGTGGGCCAGTCACTTAACACAGTGGGCTTCAGTTTCTCACTTTAAAAATCAAGGATTTCAAAAGTATCTAGGTACTATCATTAATATAAAGAGTAAATGAGATAATAGATTCAAAATACTGTCAATTAAAAGAACTAAACTATGTTTCTTTTTAGGTCATAAGGAAGCTAAACTCTACTTCTTTAAATGTGTAATGGAAATCATTATAGGGAAGGCTCCAAGGAAGACACATATTTGCATCCTTCTTGCTATTGAAAACTTTCTCCTTTGTTGAAAGGAACTGAAGCTAAGTAGAGAATATGCTCATTGCAGTTACCTGTTGTGCATCATTTTTATATTTGATTCTGTATCCAATAAACATGACAGCATGTCTCCTTGGCTTATCTGATAGCATACCTGGTCCCCATCAACCATCCTGTTGATGTTGACAGCACTGTTAAACTTCCAGGGGACATGAAATCACTGCCTCTTGGGCATCTGGGGACACAGGACAAGGCTGTGACTTAACAGAACTATTTGTTTAAAGAAATGTCAATGTTGTCAGTTGTGAAATTAATCAAAATTAAAACTGTATTTTCAATACTCTTAAATGGAGTCATTGCTGCTATTTATGCTGTTTGTCCTGGGGGAATTTCAAGGGCCTATGAGTATTTTGCTGACTGGGCTGACTCACTAGAATCAAAAACAACATGCTTGAGATGGACTCTCTATGTCTTGTGCTCTCAGTTTATGTTCTCTATTGTGTATGTCAAAGAAGACAATGCACATTTATTTTCAGAGAGTTTTCTGGTTCTCAACCCAAAAGGTGACCCATGTACTTCATCTTTATGTATGCCCTTACATGTTTCTGCCTTTCTTCCTCTAAGAGCTCCTTCATATACTCATTAGCCTAAAATGCTCTTTAGAAATGATGGGTTACAGTTTGAAATATGGATTTGTCTGGCCAACCATCAGTGTCATCCAGTCCAACTTCCTAAACTGTGAAGTGTAGAGAAGTATCTTGCTTAAAGACTTTTCAATAAATTTAACAGAGACATTTGTGCATTTAACAATACTGAGTGCCTATTGTATAGTAGCAGTATTCTAGACATATGAGAAGCAAAGAATAGACCATATAAAACTCTCTTCCTTTATAGAACTTATAAGTGGGGGAGATTAAGAAGATAGACGTTGTAGAATTATAGACTCTCACTATACAAAGAAAGCTGGGATGTCATAGGGTCTTGTGTTTTATTTAATGTAAGAATTTCCTTCTATCAACACCCCTAGCATCTGTGGAGACCGCCAGTGACAAGCTGCTCAGTGTAACTCCAAGGTAACTGGACAGCCAGTTTCACTGGTGGATATTCAGTTAATTAGGATTACTTACTCAGAAAAGGCAGCCTTTTCTGCTACTGACTCTAATGATTTTCTCAAATCACATATAATTGCATCCCTTTTTCCCACACCAAGCTATACTTAACACAGCAGACCAGCTGTCATTGTAAAAGGCAGATTAGACCACATGTCTTTTATTCTGAAACACTCCAGGAACTCCTTAATACACTGAGTAGATGCTGAGCTATTACAATGACTTAAAGGTCCAACTTGATCTTTCTTTTCTATTCTCTCATTCCCATCCCCATTGCCTGCCTGGCTTTATCTCCTACACAAAGGCTTTCTATTTTCTAAGCCCTGCCTCCCTGCACTCCACCACCACAAATTTTTGTACCTTGTGCTACCCTGTGCAATACACTCTTGCAAGATGGACTTTTCCTCCTGACCTTTACTCGAACACCACCTGCCCTGGCCACACTTTCTGAAACTGCACACACATCTGATATGCCTTAATATTCTTTGCATTACTCTTTTTCTCCTTAGCACTTTTTAACTTCTACCATACCATAATTTTTTGTTTATTTTGCTTATTGTCTGTGCCCACTATGATAAATATAAGGTTAACATGGACAGAGATACAGCCATTTTGCTAATTTCTAAATCCCTACTACAGAAAACAGTATGTCTGGTACAAGACAATAATAAATAAATATTTATTGAATAAATGGATGGATGGAGTTAAATCTCCCCTTTTAGTTTGTAGTCAACTCTCAGATCTCTTCTGGGCCTGATTTTCTTCAGTCTAAATTGTTCAAGGGCCTATGATTAGTATGGTTCCTATTATTAGTAAAATAAATTCAAATAAGGAGAGAAAATAGTGGGAAGACCATTTTAGTCTTGGTCTAGGGCAGCTTCACCAAAAAATAGAACTAATAAAGTATCAAACTCACATTAGGACCCTGTAGACATTCCTCAGTCAACTCAGAGCTCATAGATTGAAAGAATAATTAACTTGAACCCTAGTTGGGTTCACTTACTTAGAAACATAAGAAGAGATGTACAGAGATGTAGTGATTGAAACACAACATGCAGAAACAATGAATTTTGGTGTGGCTGCAGCATTAGTCTTTACTCTTCATTCCCCTCAAGAGAAAATGTGATGTGAAACAAAGGTCTTTTAACAAAATGCCAATGTACACTCATTCCAAAGAGTCAGAGCTCTAGTGTATATACAATGGCTGTCTCAATATTGTTCTCAATTCTTGACTATGCTAGAATATTATACACTCTGATCTTTGCCAGGCTGTGGGTAGATGGTGACTTCTCTGCTCCTTGACCACATGATTTGTTTTGGTTAAAGTGACATTGGTAGTCATAATGCTAGTAGAGGTTTGAAATGTAGTTTAGATTTTGTATTTGAAAAGAATACACCCTGTGTGTGCTTTGTCCTATTATTCTGGGCTCCAAAATGAGATATTTTGGATGTAAACCTGACCTGCTATGTATCTCCATACCAGCCTATTACATCAAGTAAGATCAGTCTCATCCAAACTACCCACAAATCCATAAGCAAGAAAAAGAAATGTTTGTTATTATAAGCTTAAGGCATTGAGACTGCTTTTAGGTATAGTGTTATTGTAGCAATGGTTAAGTTATATTAGAAGTTTATAATCCTGATCGCTTCTGATTTCAGAAACTAAGCAGGGTTAGCCTTAATAGTTTACTTAATGGTAATAACTCATAAAATTTAGGGTAGTTCTAGACTGAATTGTGTCCGTTTCACATTCATATGTTGAAGCCTTAACACTCCAAAAGGACTGTATTTGGAAAAAGAGACGTTAGGAAGATAACTGAGGTTAAATGAGGTGATAAGGGTAAGGCTCAAATCTGATAGGATTGGTGTCCTTATACGGAAGGAAGCTCTCCATCACTCTCTCTGATCATGTAGAGAAAAGGCTAGGCAAGGATACAGCAAGAAAGCTACCATCTGCAAGCTAGAAGAGAGAGGCCTCACTGGGACTTCCAGCCTCTGTATCTGTGAGAAAATAAATGTTTAAGTCACTGAGTCTGTGATATTCTGTTTAATGGCAGTCTGCACCAACTAATACAAAGGGCATTAGAGAATGGAATTATTTTTGCAATAACAGCTTGTTTTTCCTCTTACTCAGATTTTGGGCTCTAGGTCCATTTGCCAAATGGCTAATTTATCAAATCTACTTTTGAAAAAAATCTAATCATTTTGATAAGCATTTTCATTTGATCTTAAAGTTTGTTCTCTTTTGTGTCTATTTTAGCTTGCTGCTGCTGAACTTAGATAATACAAACATTAGATAAATTAATTGTGATTTATGTATATAATGGGTATATGCAATACACTACATAGCACTGAATACAAATACAAATCAACTTGGATAAAGTTCACATATGCTGAGTGCAAAACTAAAGCTATTTACAAAGAATACATACCAAATAGTAGCATTTGTTTTGAGTTTTGAAGAGTATCTCTGAGAGGACTGGAAGAAACTCTCAAGTATTTTTTTTCCAAAATTTTAATTTCTATAGTAGGTGATTGGCAAATAAAGATGCTCATTCTATCCATCATTAATAGGAATAAATAAACATGGGTAATGACCTTTTTAAAGTTAAGGCAATCACTTAAAAAATAATACCTGAGTGTGGTGGCTCAAGCCTATAATCCTAGCTACTGTGATAGAGGATCAAGGTTCTATACTAGCTTGGGCATAATTGAGACTCCAGCTCAATGAATGACTTGGCTGAGAATAGTATTGTCCCTAGCAAAATGAAAGCACAAGTATGAAGATCACAGTCCAGGACAGCCCAGGCACAAAGCAAGACCTAACTATGAAAATAGTCTGACATAAAGGGGCAAAGGGTATGGTTTAAATTGTAGAGCACTTGCTTTGCATGTGTGAGATCCTGAGTTTAGTCCCCAGTACTGCCAAATAAAAATAGTAATAATGCATAACATTTAAACTAGCCAGAAAAAATGTATCATAAGAGAAAACATGCCTAAAATACGTAAGTTCACTGTGTGAAAACACAGTAATAAATTTTTTATATCTTTAAAATAACTATAAATTTGTTAAAGTCAAAAATTAAAAGACTAAGACTATCAGTGTGCATTTTTTAAAGGTCCAGCAGTGGTTTTTCCACACAAAAACTTTTACAACAAAAGGATTCCAGATGGACTAAAATAAAAGAACAATTAAAGAAATATTAGCTACTAGAGCAAGCCACCCTCAAATTCCTCTTTCTCACAATGCTTTTTAATAATCTTTACACGTACATTCATTCAGAATGAAGGTTGTCACTTAAAAAAAAGAAACATGTATTTGTACTTTGACTAACATTGAGTTTCCCACATAGATAATTGCACTACTGGGAAATAATAGTTCATCTTATTTCATATCTTGTTTTTGTTTTAGTTATTTGAGGGACTAAGATCTCACTTTTGCCTGATTCCAGACTCACTTTTTATTTTACAGTCCCACTAGAAATAATCATTTAATTTGCTCTATCCTCCCAATGTTTGCTGTTTTCAAAAGTTCCTTCAATTTCAGCTGTCCTTTTTCTGTTTGTTTCTGTCATACTAGGCTTAAGCTAAGGGCCTTGTAGGCCTTTCCCACTGAGCCATGCTTCCTACCATTTTTGTTCTGGTTATTGTTAAGATGGATCTTATTTTTTGCCAAGGTACCTGCCTGAACCATAGTACTTCTTCATATTTGTTATCATAGCTGGAATGACAGGAATGTACCACCACATTGAGTTTCTTTCCAATGAGATGGAGTCGTAGACTTTCCTGCCTGGACTGGCCTGGATGCATAGTCCAGGACTTAAGCACTGGAGCCTGGCTTTCATATTAGCTATCCTTATAATTTGGCAAAAGCA